CTCTGTGATTATCTCTGTGATTATCTCTGTGATATCAGACACCATAACATTATCAAGTACTTTGGTGTTTTTCTTCCTGCAAAGGCGTTTAATCTCTTTCACAACATCATCACCCACTATCAGGGTTTGAGAACTTGTAGCTGTCGCTTTCTGAAACCATTTTGGAGGAAGCCATTTAAGGCTAACCCCAATTTTACCCCAAATTTAAAGAAAATTTAAAAAGTGTGATATTGAATGCAGAAATAATAAACAGCATGTGGGTGGAGCTGAGTTTCTTCATACATACTGGGCTTGGCTTGAAGTAGGGGCCCCAYATGAAACTTTACACACAGACATCACCAAACTTTGGTTTAACCTAAAACCAGAATAATTTGTGTCACTCTAAAAGAAAAAAAAAAGTAGGTCCTCTGGACGGGTTCTTCTTTAGTGAGACGTTTCGTCTCTCCTCTAAGAGACTTCCTCAGTCTGAGGAGTTTCAGGTGAACTCAGCCTTATAAGCACTGCCTCCACATGGTGGACAAACACAATTTGATGGAAGTAAAATGAAAGTATTCTGTGATAACCAATCAAAACCTTTTGACATTCTTCATAGCCACGCCTCCTTTTGTCTTTTAAGACATTGAGTGAGAAAAGCATTTAGTTTGTCAAGATGCTTCTGCTGTGGGTCACACTGCTTCTCCTCCATCATGTCTGTAAGTGTTATTTATAGATCTAGTAAAATACTTGATCATTTTGGTACATACTTGACTTTTATTTCCCTTTACTTCTTAAACTTCAATTTCATTTGTTCAATAATATTTTTCACAGATGCTTTGGTTCCAGTGATCACAGTTCCTCTTGGTGAACCCGTGACTCTGACYTGTGCTGCTTCAGAGAAGTTTCAGAGCAKCACWTKGCTTCACTGGTACAAGCAGAGCGCAGGAGAAACTCTGAAATTAGTTTTWATGCAGCAGAAAMGCATAAAACCCATATTTGAACCAGAGTTTCCTCCTTCAAGATTTCRTGCAAGAAGTGATGRTAAAASAAGTGAASTAACAATTCTGARGACAGTTCAACAGGATGAAGGAATGTATCACTGTGCTCACATAGACTGGWCTAMAKCTACATGGAGTGSGATTTATTTGTCARTRAWAGGTAATTATGAGATCAAATTATCAAATATAGGAGGAAAGGCAGATTTGGTTGTTGCTAACTATTGAAAACTTTTTTTCCATGAGTTCTTCTCTCAGAAATGTAATTTTTTTACAACACTTTGTAATTTTATGCAAACCAGTAGATTTTCATTCTGATAAAATCATATTTACAGAAAAAAACAATAACATTTTAAAGCAAAAACATGACTGACGTTAGTGACAGCATTTATCCTCTTGAATTTTAGTGTCTAGTTTATGGGACTCTTTTCTTTCATAATTTCAAATCAAACAATAAAACAAAAACTTATCTTAAATTATCATAAGACATGGTCAAATGAAACAAGGATTATTTTTAAGTCTTTGACTGTTAAACATATGGACGATAGGGACTTTATTTGCAGATCAATTTTTAAAATAAAAATTTTCATTTCAACAACAAAAACAAACATAAAAAAACACAACATCATTTTGCACAATTTTGCCCGTTATATCTGCTTCTTTAAGAATCTGCACCAACACAGATAAAAACTTTTGTAAGGAATAATTAGATCTTGGCTGTATGTCTAACCTTTTTTACACATTGCTCCTTCAAAGTGCACTGTGACACTGAAGAGGATTCAGCGGGTACAGAAACAGAGTGCATACACAGTGGTTTACTCAAGTTTTTGAAGTTTGAACATTTGATCTACCCTCTTTAAAAACGTTATTCATGTTGTTGTTCTTATTTTAGGAGACACTGAGAAGACATTAAACTACACTGTTGTTGAGCAATTGACACAATCAGATCCAGATGATTTAGGGATTCTGCAGTGCTCAGTTCTCTCTGATTCTGAGGGTGAGGAGTGCTCAGAAGATCCCAGTGTTTTCTGGTTCAGAGCCAGGTCAGAAAACTCTTATCCAGATATCATGTACACTGATGGAAACAGACCTGAGAAATGTGAAAAGACATCTGACCCTCTGAAGAGATGCAGATATAAGTTCTCCAAGAAGATCAGCTTCTCTGATGCTGGGACTTATTTCTGTGCTGTAGCCACATGTGGGCAGATATTTATGGGAAATGGAGGAAAAATTAATATTGGTAAGTGTCTTACTAAAATTAATTTAAGAAAAATAAAAATAGAAGCAAGAATTTCACTGACTGATGTCAAGATTACCTTCTGACATTTTTTGAAATGCACTAAAGACTCTTCAGTATTACTACATTCTTCTGTGTTTGCTTGCAGAACGCAGGTCACCAGAGGTCTGTCCAGTCCCTTTTCTACTGTGTGCTGTCCTGCTTATCATAAGTCTGATTGTTATAGCTGTCCTCAGTTGTTCCATTCACAAAAGAAAATGTGACCATTGTCAAAGTAAGAGAAAACTTTGATTTTCTCTGAACAAAAAATGTTTCATCTTTATTTATCATCTGTTCTTTTTTACAATCCAGCTGCTGTTGAGCTGCATGAAGGCTGTGACCTGAAAAAACATGAGGTAAAAATTTTAAGATTCAAAAAAATTTGTCAGTGTGTTGATCGTTGCTCATTTAAATTATATATATGCATTGTTTCTCATTTGATTATTTTTTAGAGAAATGAAGAAAGCTGGATGTATTCTGCTGTCATCTTCTCTGTGATAAAAACTGACGACAGAACAGAAAAAGCTGCAACATTTCCACAAGCTGCAGTTTTTCATTGACATRCCTAAACWTGTGTTTGTCTCTGTTTTATGCCAGATTGTTGTAATATCGACCATGTTTGTTTCAGTTCTGTTCAGTTTGTAATCATTTTAAAGATTTATTTTAGCTGATCATTTGTTCAGCTCCTTCATTGTCTCATTAAAAATTTGTTTTTCATTTGGCTAAGTCCTGTGTGTTTTCTGATTAGATAGTTGTATTTTAACAACCAAACAGACATTTTATATATGTATATATTCAAGATTCAAGTAGTTTAATTGTCAATGCTTCATATTTGCAAAACATACAGAGAATTGAAATTGTGTCTCCTTCCCAGTTACATCACACACACACACACACACACACACACATATATATNTACCTTTGTTCAACTCTGGCTTACATCAGGTAAGGAAGCTCTGAAATGTTCCTGGTCAAAATGAGATGTGACAAAATATTTTTCAGTTCTTCTGTTGTGTCAGCTAATGATAAAATATGGCTCCATTATGCATTTAATATATTGAAACCCAGACCAAAAGGCAAAACAAAAGACCTTTTTCAGTTACAGTGTTATGGTGAATTTTAATTGTGTTAAACCAAAACAAATGACTAGAATGAGTAAGAGGAAGATAGTACAATGGCTCAAATATGAGAGACACTAAAAAAACTTCCAAGAGGAACAATCATATTATTCATCTTCACTGACTGTGTTCAGGCAGTATACATTAAAAGCACATGAAAGGGTGCATAAAACACCGACAAGAGTTGGATTTGTGGTCTGCTGAGAAACACCTCCATATTGAGCTTGAACAAATTCCTTTTTCAAGATTTCTCAATTGCTTCACATCACCTGTTCATCTGTGATTATCTCTGTGATTATCTCTGTGAT